ATGCTGCTTGGCCTGCTGTGTCCATCCAGCTCTACACCTCATTATCTCAGATTCTCCAGCATCTGCAGTTCCTACTGTCCCTCGTTTCCTTTGACAGCTTTCTTAAATCTGCATCCTTCAATTACTGATCAGACTCCCAGTGGACACAGCTTCTCATTTACTCTGTGTAGATTTCTAACTTTGAGCCATGTTTTAAATCTGCAATTAAAATAGTGCTCCACTGCTCCAGTTGATGGATTAAACCTTCTGAAAAAGTCTTGCCTTAGGTTCAGGAGGTAATATTTCTCCAGCAGCATCCAGCCAATTTTTACATCATACAAAGCATGCTGGATTGATTTATGCTTTAATGGGCATGAGCACCAGCAGCAAGGCCAGCTTACTCATTGCTAATTGCCCTGGAGGTGATGGGACAAAGCCTTCCTGAACTATTGCAGTCCATGTGATGTAGGTACACCCATAGCATTGTTAGAAAGGGAGTTCCAGGATTGTGACCTAGCACCAGCGAAGGTACGAGGATATGTTTACAAGTCAGGATGGTGCACGGTTGAAGGTGGTCTTGTGGTGCTCCTATGTGCCTCCTGCCCTGGTGCTCCAAGGCAGCAAAGATCATAAGTTTGGAAGGTATGGGTTGAAGGAGTCTTGAACAGTACAGTTCCTCCTCTACTAGCGCACAATGTCTAAAAAGGGGGCTGCTTGGTCTTGGATGGTGTTAGGCTGCATTCATCCAAGTAGACAGACAGTATTCCATCACACTCTGGACTTGTATCTTGTTGATAGTGTAGCTTCAGGAAGACAAGGTGGTGAGTTATTTGCTGCAGGATTCTTAGCCTTTGACCTGCTCTTGTGCTTGTGACATTTCGAATATCTGGACAAATCAAGTACTGCCTAAAATCATCCTCCTGAAACTGTGCAATGTGTAAATTCTCTCATTGTGTAAAGTTCTCACCTTAAAAACCAACACAATGAGGGTGACAGTAACAGACCTCAGAAGAGCAGAGTGTGGGGAAATGGGTAGACAAGTGACATAATTTAATGGTAAAATTACATCAATGCTTTAGTAGGAAGAATGACAAAAGGATAATAAAAATTTTATTATTCCATTTATGAAGAGATTGCAGGAGCAGGGAAACCAGACCATGAACGTACTTAAAATGTTTGAAGGTGGCTCAGCAGGATAAGGCTGTTATACAGATCCTCTGTTTTATAAAACCGAGGAAGAGAGTTTGAAACAACAAAAGTTAGACTAAAAACTTTTATAAATCATGTGTTGGTCCTCAAGTATTATGTTCTGGTGAATATTTGCACAGTAACTACTTTCACTATATTAACTCTTTTTCCAAAATAATTCAGATATGGACATTACTAGCTTGGCCAGCATTTTTTGCCCATCCATATTTGCCCAGAAGGCAGTGAAGAGTCACCCACATTGATGTGGGTCTGGAGTTACATGTGGCCAGACCAGGTAAGGATAACAGGTTTCCTTCCCTAAAAGAGGACATTAATGAACCAGATGGGTTGTGATCATCATTACACAACTTTCATGGAATTCAAATTCCACCATCTTCCATGACAGGATTTGAATCCAGGTCCCCAGAACATTACTTGGGTTTCTGGTCTCAGTTTAGGATTAATACTGCTAGGCCATCGTCTCCACTTGGGGCCTGGAAAAAAGTGATCTGGAGAGGTGTTAAAAGCCTGCCATGATAGCTGTGGAATCTAAATTCAACTAACAAGTGTGGAATAAAATTCACTCAATAATCACTGTCTATGAGATCACTGGATTGTTAAATCCCATCTGATTAGTTCTTTGAAGGTGAAAACGATTTTTTTTTCTTCTTCGCAAAACCCAGTTTGGCCTGTGTGTGACTCCAGACCCAGAGAAATGTGGTTGAATCTTAACTCCCTTCTGCAATGGCCTAGCAAGCCTTTCACTTGCATTTGAGATATTCTTACATTCTAAAGGCAATTAATGACTGGCAATAAACAGTGATACCCATTTTGATGAAAGGCCAAAGGCTTGAAGCATTAACTACTACTCAGCAGATCAGGCAGTATCCAAGGAAAGAATTTCAGGCACATTTTTCTCATTTCATTCCAGATTTCCTGGATCTTCAAAATTTGCTTTGAACTGGTAGGGTCACAGCTGAGACAGAGATAATTGGATAGTAATTTCTAGGAGCTGGCACAAGTACAATGGGCAGAATGACCTCCTCCTGTGCATATGATTCTGAGAGAATGAAGGGCCAATCTGCAGTTCCAGCCTTGGTGTGGGGGTGGGGAAATGGAGACAGATCCCTGAAGACTGTCAGAAAGCCACATTTGTTTTCTGCTCAAGATCTTCTTGCACATGGAGGTTTGCTTAGTTAAAAAAGAGAGAAAGTTATTTAATTACTTTGCTTAAAATGGTTTAACACTTTGCTTGTTACTGCTTCTTTCCTCTTTTGTCTACCTCCTCAAAAGACCACATGGTAGTATTCAAAGAATTACCAGCTGCATTTCCAATCTCTGAACAACAGTTACATGTTAAGTTGTGCTTCAGGACATTCGGTGGTACATAAATACACCTTTTTGGTAAACTTTTACTTCTCCCATTATCACCCTCTCTGCACTTATGATTCCTTCTCTTTCCCACATTAAAACAGCTTTGGTATGATCTTAAAAAAGGGAAAGCAAGCTATTGGGGATGCTGGAAATCTTAAATGAGGGGTGCTGGACATAAACCGGCAGGTCTGGCAACATCTATTGAAAGAAACAGCCGACATTAGTCTACAATTGGACTGAAGTTTTGACCCTATTTCTTTATCCACACGTGCTGCCAGACTTGCTGAGTTTCTCCAGCACTTGTTTTTTTTTTTTAAAAAAGAGGACGTCTTCCACTTAGAATTCAATCCAAGTATTTGTGACTTGAGGGATTTGAGAAGGATAAAAATGGTTTTCCAAAAAAAAAAAAAAAAAATTTTCCCCAGGCATGAGCTGGGTAGATCAGGGAGCACAGGTACAAATCAAGCACCAACTCAATTTTACAAACTGGGGATCAGGACAAGCCCAGTAACAACACTGTGTCCACTATGAGGAACATAGCAATGAATGCTAAATATGGTCAGTTACCCACCTGTCTGGTTTTGGCAGAAGTTTCGATGTAAGGAATGCCATAACTCCGGGCCAGGTCTTGGGCCTGCCGAGTCTCCACAGATCGGGAAGGCAGATCGCACTTGTTTCCCACCAGAACCATTGGAACATCATCAGAATCCTTCACCCTTTTAATTTGTTCCCTGTAAAAATACAGGATGCCTTTAACAGATGGCAGAATTCTTCACAAGCTGACTGAGATCAAGAGGCTTGAAATTTTACAGCAGAGTGGCACCCATTTGGCCTATTGCGCCTCTGGCAGCTCTTTCAAAGAGCTATCCATTCAATCCTTCTTCAGGCCCTCTCCTCTCCCTCCACCACCCCATCCCTAATTACCATGCGAGCATTTTCACTTAACGTTTAAACAAGTCCCTTTTGAAAAAGTTACTACTGCAGCTGTTTCCATGGTCAGAGGTGCATTCACATCCCAATAACTCACCACATCTTACCAATTAAAATCAGTGCCCTCCAGTTACTATCCTTCTTGCCATTTCGGTGAGGGGGAAGGGCGCTGGGGGTGGCAGTGGGAAGACAAAAGAAGTTCTTCTTAAACAAAATGGAGATCTCCTTTGTGTTTCTTTTTGTAAAAAGAACTTCTTGCCAGAATAAACCCCTTTTCCTTCATTGGTCACCTACACCCAACCACAGTACTTGGTGTTAGGTTATTTGTACCAGTCCTCTCTCTCTCTCTCTCTCTCTCTCTCTTCCACTCCCCCGAAACCAGAGGCTCAGACACTGACTCCACACAAGACACAACATTATGCAATAAAGTGGCCGCTCCCCTAGCCAAGTACTTCCAGTACAGTTACAACACTGGCACCTACTGGCAGTGTGGAAAATTGCCCAGGTATTTCTTGTACACAACATACAGAACAATTCCAACCTGGCCAATTACCGCCCCATCAGTCTACTCTCGAAATTCAGTAAAGTGATTCAAGGCGTTATCGACAGTGCTATCAAGCTGTACTTGCTCAGCAATAACCTGCTCATTGATGTAATGAGAGTCGTCGTCGCCCTGGCACAACTCAAATGAACCAAACAGATGAAAGAGTGAATTCCAGAGGAGAGAGTGACATCAAGGAACCCTGCCTGCTTCCAGTTTTGCTATAACTCTGCTGGTTGGAGTCATACCTGGCACATAGGAAGATGGTTGCTGGTCAGTTCTCAGCTCCAGGAGATCTCTGCAGGAGTTCCAAGGGTAATATCCTAGATCCAACCATCTTCAGCTGCTTCAATGACCTTCTCGCTATCATGAGATCAGAAGTGGGGCTGTTCACCAATGATTGCCCTATTTTCAGTACCAATCAACTCCTCAGATACTGAAGCAGTCCATGTTCAAATGCAACAAGATCTGGACAATATCCAGGCTTGGGCTGACAAGTGGCAAACAACATTCACGCCAATAAATGCCAGGCAAAGACCACTTCTAATCAGTCTAACCACTGTCCCATGACGTTCAACATCATTACCACTGAATCGCCCACATCGTTGGGGTTACCATCAATCAGAAACTCAGCTGCACTTGCTACATAAATATAGAGTGGTTACAAGAGCAGGTCAGAGGTTAGGAATACTGCAGTGAGTAACTCACCTCCTTGTTGGGATGCTTGATTAGAAAACAAGTTAGAAAGTATGATGAATACTCCCCACTTACTTGGATGGGTGCATCTCCAATAACACTCAAGCAGCTTGACACCATCCGGGGCAAAGCAGCTTGATTGACACCGCATCCATAAGCGAACACATCCTCCACTACCAAGTCTGAGGAGCAGTGTGTATCATCTACAAGATGCATTGCAGAAATTCACAAAAGATCCTCAGACAGCACCTTCAAACCCACAACCATAAGCCTCAATTAAAAAAAAGGACAAGGGCAACAGATACATGGGAACACCACCAGCTGCAAGTTCCCATCCAAGCCACTCACCATCCCAACTTGGAAATATACCGCAATGCCTTCACTGTCACTGGTTTAAAATCCTGAAATTCCCTCCCCAAGGGCATCATGGGTCAGTCCACAGCACGTAGACTGTGGTGGTTTAAAGGCAGCAGCTCCTCACCACAGAGGGCAAAAAAGATAGATATGGACGATAAATGCTGACCCAGCCACTGAGCCCCATGTCCCACAAGTGAATAAAGGAAGTCATACATAGTGCAAAACAAGAGGATTGTGGTTGGAGGTTCATTATCTCTAGATCCTCAGGGTATAATCTTTTTCTTAATGAACCTGTTGAAGAGATGTTATTACCCACCTGCTCCAGAGGTGTGACTTCAACAGCACTTTGGCTCAGTGGTTAGTACTGCTACCTCACAGCAGAGACCAAGTTTCAATTCCACCCTTGAGCGACTGTCTGTGCAAACTCCACGCTTTTCTCCCAGTGTCTGCGTGGATTTCCGAGGTGCTCCGGTTTCCTCCCAAACTCCAGAGGAGATGTGGATGTTAGGTGAATTAGCCATGTAAATTGCCCTCTAGATGCACAGGCTAGATGAATTAGCAATGGGAAATGCCAGGTTATGTGGATAGGGTGGGGGCTGGGTCTGAGTAGGCCAGTGCAGACATGGGCTGAATGGCCTTTTTCAACACTGTCAGGGTTTCTAGATTCTAATCCAGTTCCTTAGGCTACTGTTTTAGGCCCAACTATCTTCAGCTACTTCAATGACTTTTCTTCCATCATAAAAAGGTCAGAAGTGGGATGTTCGTTGATGATTGCACAATTTACAGCACCATTCATGACACCTCAGGTACTGGAGCATACCATGTTCGAACAGGGCAAAACCCAGACAACAGGTTTGGGCTGAAAAGTGGCAAGTAACATTTCCATCACAAATGCAAATTTATGAATGACCATCTCCAAGCAAAACAACCTAATCATCACCCCTAAAATTTGATGGTATTACCATCCCCGATTTCTCCATCATTATCTTGGGTGTTATCATTGACCAGAAACTGACCTGGACTAGCCATATAAATATTGTATAGGGGAGGCGATGGCCTAATGCCATTAATCGCTGGACTGTTAATCCAAAGACCCAGATAACGTTCTGGGGACCTGGGTTTGAATCCCATCATGGCAGATGGTGGAATTTGAATTCAGTAAAATATCTGGAATTAAGAATCTATTGATGACCATTAATCCAGTTTCAATTGTCAAGAAAAACCCATCAAGTTCACTAATGCCCTTTAGGGAAGGAAACTGCCATCCTTACCTGGTCTGGCCTACATGTGACTCCAGACCCAAAGCAGTGTGGTTGACTCTGAACTGCCCTCTGGGTAATTAGGGATGGGCAATAAATGCTGCCTAGTCAGCGACACCCTCATCCCACAAATGCATTAAAAGAAAAGGATGGTCAGAGTCAAGGAATCCCAAAGTGAGTAATTCCTGACTCTGCCATTCCTGTCTACTTCTCAAGACACAAGTCCTGAGTGTGATGGAATACTCCCCACTTGCCTGGATGGGTGCAGTTCCAGCAACACAAAGTTTGACACCATTCAGGACAAAGCAGCCTGCTTAAATTGGCACTACATCCACAAGCATCCACTCCCTCCACAGTACACACTGCTACTGAGTGTCAGTGTACATGATGCCACTGCAGAAATTCAAAGATCCTTAGATAACACCATCCAAACCCATGATACAACCATCTAGAAGGCCAAGGGTAACGATTACATGGGAACATCACCACCTGTAAATTCCCCTCCAAACCACTCACCATCCTGACTTGGAAATGCAATCACCATTCCTCCAGTTTCACTAGGTCAAAATCTTGGAACTCTTTCACAACAGGACTGTGGATCCACCTACACCAAACGGACTACAACAGTTCAAGGCTCAATTCACCATCACCTTCAAGGAGGAACTAGGGACCCTGGCCTAGCCAGTGACACCCACATCCTGAGAATTAATGAAATGAAAGTTCTAGTGGGGTGGGGAGAGACAGTGAGAGGTGTCTCGATATTGGATATGTGCTGTGAAATATTCACTGTATATTACCTGTGTTTACAATAGGTTAATTCTGGATGTTAGAAATAAGATCTTATATTATAGTAAATTCTATTAAAAAGATTTGCGATTAAGTAGTATTGCTGTACTAATACAAACTTTATTGCTGTTTGTTGAAGACCATGCTATATTGTGGCATTATTTTCTTTGCAACTCCCCTGGAACTTACTTTTTGTTTACCTTAAAATAAAAGGTTACTAGTCTCTAACCAAATTGTAACAATTTGGGGGATCTTGTCCAGGATCACAGTGTAAATTTGATGGCCAGATCTGGGATCAAAACAGAATCAAAGTGTTGAATCAGTTTGAGTGCCGATAAGAAATCATAAAGAGAGGAGTCATTGTTGGGAGTGGCAGTATAAAGAATTATTCAGGTAGCCAATACAGAATATCCTGCCATTAAATTGTGGGGGATTTTAATCTTCATAGATGTTGAATAAATCAATTTGGCAAAGGTACCCTGGATGACAGTTCAAGAGAATCTGGAACACAGTTTCTTATAACTATATATTTGGAACCAAATCAGGAAACAGGAAGAATGAGGTGAGACAGGTTTGGTTAATGACCTCCAAGTAAAATGATCTTCTAGACAAGAATGAATGTAGCAAGATTGAATTTGAAATTCAGCTTGAAGGTGAAAAATTTGGATCTGAAACTAGTGCCTTAAACAAAAATACTTCACAACAAGACTAACCTGTACTGATGAATGTCTTCAAATGATTTGGTGTTGTTGATTGCAAAGACACACAGGAAGCCTTCTCCTGTCCTCATGTATTGGTCTCTCATGGCACTGTACTCCTCTTGACCTGCTGTGTCCAGAATATCCAACAAACAGGTTTCCCCATCAATAACTACCTGCTTTCTATAGGAATCCTGTGATTAGAAGAGTAGAGCAAAATAAAATAAGTCAAGCCTGGGTGACCTCGGTATCCATTTTGGATTGCTCTGTAGCCATAGTAATAAATCCAGAGCATATTTCAGTTGTAACTAGTCGTTAATTTACCTTCCTGCATTTTAAGTAAAACATAAGAGGAAAAAGAAAGTTCACTATCAGGGGAGGGGGGGGGGGGGTGGTGGTGATATCTGTCACTAGCAGTTCAGGTTTTATGTATAAATATAGCTTTGAGGACACGTTGCCTTGGTAACCAGCTGGATAGTTGCCTGCACGTGTGATTCTACACTTTTATCACACTCTTTGGAGAGGAGCAGCATCATGTTCAGTGTTTTATGAAATACAAGTTGCATTAAAAAAATCCTGATAAACAGTACAGTCAAAGGGCTGTCAAAATCAATTGGAATGTTTTAAAACTGGGAAACCAGTCCAGGCAGGAGGCTCACCTCAGCAGCAGCTTTCAGAGCTCCCTTTAGTGTCACACTGGCTGAAGATAGAAGCGACAAAAAAGCATTGAGGGAGTTTGAGATTCATCCCCAACATTTTACAGTCCTTCGAAATATCATGTCTGGATTAAGTTTCGTTCAGATAATAGGTACACTTGGAAATGGTCTGTAACCAGGTTACTGGCCCAAATAGAATCTTAGTCACTGGCAGGCACATCAGTTTGAGGGGGTCTTGTTTGTGTCTTACAATCTAATCTCACTGCAAATTCAACACTCTAGTTCCCAAATTGGTAAACTCGAGTGGAATACTCCAGGATAATCTGGGGAGACGTTCAAATTGCACCCTTTTTATTTCATTGGAAGGGAAGGTTACTTGTTGGGATGCTTAATTCTCAGGCACGAGCCTTAAAGTTCAATGATAAATTGAGGTCATGTACACTGTACACTTCAGCTTAATGCTATGATGTTCCCAAGTCCCATTCCACAATGAGGCCAAAACTAAAACTATTGTGATTCAAATCATTTGCCAACATGTTAAAATGTGAATAATCATTTCGTGTGCGTGCACAGGGCATAGAGAGCAGACTGAATACTCGAGTAACTGCAACAATATAGATCCACGCACAAATCTCTAGTGTTTTATACAGCTGTGACAAAAAGCAGAGGTTTCAGCCAGTGGGTAATCTCACTTCTAACTCATGCTCAGACCAGCCAGGTTGTGGCTTCAAGCTTCATTCTAGAGACTCAATCACATAATCCAGACTGACATTCGAAGCAGTGTGAGAGGCAATACCAAGGGAGCACTCCATTGTCAGAAGTGCTATCTTTCAGGTGCAATGCTAAACAGAGGCACTGCCTACCCTTCTCATGGGTGGGAAAAGATCCCACAGTCTCTAATCCAAACAGGCTACCATTGGTGTTCAATCCAAATTGGTGTTCTGGAGCCAATGCTTATTCAGCTAGCATCACTAAAAATCGACTCTGGATGTTATTACATTGCTATTCATGGGATCTGGTAGTGTGCAAACTGGCTTCTATGTTCTCTATATTACTAGAGTGGCTACACGTTATAAATAATCACATTGCTGTAAAGCAGGTTCGAAGGGCATGAAGGAGACTAAAAATTAGAATCTATTTTTAATTAGATGGAAAAATTGAATATTTGTGTTAGATAGGATCCAAAGAACACAACAATTTTGTCAATTCCAACAGAGCTGTAGTACCAGAGTGGAAAACAGCCGGTGTGGAAGTTCAAAACCCAATTGGAAAGCCTGCTCCATGTTGGACTAGGTTCAATAAGAAGACAGAAAACAGCAAGTGCACAGGAAAAAGCAAACGTTAAAAAAAAATGGCTCCTTGGAGAGAAACTAATTTCATTTAGTACATTTTTATTCAAGAGGTTACCCTTTCATCAGTAACACAGTCAATAAGTCACCTACTTTAAAAATCAAGTCAAGTTACTGTTTATTGGTGTCTACACACACTGGAATGTGATCTTGGTGGTGAACTTCTACTGCCTAATACATTTTCCATCTGCTCCACTTCCAAGCCTAACAGAATGAGATTCAAACAGCAATCAAGAGCCACGACCATGCAAAAGCAATACCTTCGAAATCTCCCAAGATGAGGATTTTAGCTTCGATTCTTCAATCTCAACCACCCTTGCCTCTCCCTAACACTTTGGGTAGCGAGCACGTGCGACAGAATCATTGTTAAACTTTTTACTCAAATGTATACAAGACAGGTTGTTTTGCCTGAACAGTCTACGTTTAACATAACTAGTTCTAATTGTCTTAACCTTCTGTTTTTCTACTACTCCATCCCTTTACCCTTACTTCAGTGTAGCAATAATGGAGTGCCACACTTTTGAGGAGCAGTACTGAGTGAGCAGTGCATTGTTAGTGGAACAGTGATGAGGGAATGCTGCAGTACTCTTTTCTATAGAATGTAAACCAGGGGGCCCCCAATCTGTCCATTCAGGTGACCACAAGATCCCATGGCCATTATTTCCAAGGACAGGGGAAATTATTTCTACTTTCCTGGCCAGTATTTATCCTTCAAACATCACAAAAGCAGGTGATGTGTTTATCAGCTAATGGCTGTTTGTGGGAGCTTGTTGTGTTATTTGGTTACTGTATTTCCTACAACACCGACTATACTTTAAAAGCACTTCATTAGCTTTGAAGCGCTTTGGCGTGTCTAGTGGTTGTGAATAATATATAAATGCAAGTTTTCCTTCCTTTTTGAAAGTGTGGCCCATCAATAAAATCTGTTTTATAGTAAACTATTCTAAGACACTTCATTTTGTTAAAAGATACTGCATAAATAAAGTCATTGTTCTTCCAACAATCAACTCAAACTCATTTGCATAAACCACTACTTCACCTTTTATCTGTTACTGACCTTGAATAGATCAAAAATCACAGAAACAAACTTGTAAGGTTTACAGGACCGAGAGCCATATACCTCACAGCCTCCATAGAAAACCCTCGGCTACTCTTTAAAAAAAAGTAGAGAAATTTTTCAATAGATTTGTTAAAACAAAACTAAATCTGGAGTAACTATTTCATTGTGTGATTCTGAATTTTCAATGAAAATGAGAGATTTCTGTTGTAAAGTAATATGTTAGGGTACAATCCAAGTAGTTTGAGACATTGGTCCGGAATTTCATGGAGTCTTCCTTTAAAAATGGTGGACAAAACCTAGATACCAGCTCATTTACAACTTTTGCCACAAAGGAAAGGGGGTAGGGCCTGATTTATACAGGCAGTAAACCTAAACTCAACAGGGCTATATGGACTCTTAATGGAGTTCATACAAACTCCATTTTGGATGGTCTGAAGACTACAATCCAGTGCGAAATCAGGAATTGGCAGTGTAGACAAACACAGACCAGATGCTTGAAAATGTCATTATCCAAAAGGTTTTTACTAAATCCTCCGCTCCTTAAAACCTAGAAGAGACAAGCTTAAAAACTGTCAGTGAAATTTAAAAGTACCACGTTCTATTATTAACAGGTCACCTGGTGTTGGTTAGCAAGCCATTTGCCATCTGTTAATGCAGCTTTGATAGATTTCTTTGTTGACATTTCCCAAGGCCTATTATGTCATTATGAACATTTGGCCAAATTTCAGAATTACAAATATCTGACTAGGGGGATTGGGAGTTCAGTTTGATTGACAGTTGAAAGAGGTTATTGAAAGTTGTTATTTTTGTGGGGTGTGAATGAAAGTTTGTTTTTTAAGAAAAGGATTGAACTCAAGGTTCAAAAGCATTGAACGGGCTTCATGAATTAGAGCTTGTTGCTTCTTCATTCTCTTGAATGAATGATTAGAGCTTTATTAGACTGTTAGATATTTCTTTCATCTCCCCCAGCTTGAGGTCTGCCCATTGTGGGTAGTGGATGATGTAACATGAGGATAGGAGGGGCATGGGGAAGCAGCAGAGGGGGGCAAGGACTACAGGGCTTAACTATCTCAAAATAAAAGTGCCCCAGAGGACCAAGGCAGTCTTGTAACCAGCCAATTTTGGGACTCACCCTCCCTCATGACCAACTAAGATGAGCTTTTGGGGTGAGAAGAGTTTAAAACAACTGCACTATCCTAAAAACGCTGAATTACATGGGATCAGGTAGAGGCTACTCAACTCAACCAACTCTGCCATTCTGTTAAATCATGGCTCATTTGTACATCAGCTCCATTTCCTTAACCTTGCCTCTATCAATTGCTATCATTGCTTTTAGTTCAGCGTCATAGTCATAGTCATACAGCACAGAAACAGACCCTTTGTTCCAACCAGTCCATGCCAAAACATACTCCCAAACTAATCTAGTCCCACCTGCCTGCCCCATATCCCTCCAAACCTTTCCTATTCATGTATCTATCCAAAACATCCTTTAAACGTTGCAATTGTACCCACATCCACCACTTCCTCAGGAAGTTCATTCCACTCATGAACCACAAAAAAAATGCACCTTGTGTCTTTTAAGATCTCTCTCTTCTCACCTTAAAGAGATGTCCCCTAGTCTTGAAATCCCCCATCCCAGGGTAAAAAAGACAATGCCATTAACTCTATCTATACCTCTCATTATTTTATAAACTTCTATCAGGTCACCTCTCAACCTCCTATGCTCTAGTGGAAAAAAAAAGTCCTAGCCTTTCCTTACAAGTCCAGCATTCTATAGCCGGCAATATCCAGGTAAATCTCTTCTGAACCTTCTCCAGCTTAATAATATCCTTCCTATAACTGGACAACCAAAACTGGACAGTATTCCAGAAGAGACTTCAACAACCTGTACAATCTCAACATGACTTCCCAACTCCTTTACTCAAAAGCATTGAACAACAAAGGCAAGCGTGCCAAATGCCTTTTTAGCCAACCTATCTATATGTGATGCAAACTTCCAAGAATTATTTACCTGCACCCATAGGACCCTCTGTTCTACAATGCTACCCAAGGCCCAACCATTAATTGTACAAGCCCTGCCCTTGTTTTTGTACAAAAACGTACACCACATTTATCCAGTTTGAACTCCATCTGCCATTTTTCAGCCCATGACCCATTTGATTAGATCCTTTTGTAATCCCAGAAAACTTTCACTGTCTACTATGCTGCCATATTCTGGTGTTGTCCAGAAAACAAAAAAACACAACTTACTAACCATACCTTCTATATTCTCATCCAAGTCATTTATATAAAATGACAAAATCAATCCCTGTGGAACACCACTGCTCACAGGCCTTCAGTCCAAAAAGCAACCCTCCACCCTTACTGTCTCCTGCTGTTGAGCCAATTATGTATTTTAATTTGCAATCTCACCGAGTCCCATGTGGCCTAACTTTACTAATTAGTCCACCATGTGGAACCTTGTCAAAGGCTTTACTAAAATCCAAATAAACAACATCTACTGCTCTGCCAATCTTTTTTATAACTTGCTCAAAAGACTCCATCAAGTTTGAGACATGATTTTCTTCAAAACCATGCTGACTATCCCTAGTCAATTTTTGCCTCTAAAATGTCCATAAAGTCCTTTTTTTTTTAAAAAATATAATCACCAACAATTTACCCACAAATGAAGTCAGACTCACAGGTCTATTGTTCCCTGGTTTCTCCTTACAACTTTTCTTAAGCAAAAAGAGATACAACATTAGGGTCTAGGCCCAAAACGTCAGCTTTCCTGCTCGGCCTGTGTTCATCCAGCTCTACACCTTGTTATCAGATTCTCCAGCATCTGCAGTTCCTACTATCTGAAACATTAGCCACCCTCCAGTCATCAGGCACCTCACCCGTACTTATAGATGAGGCAAATATTTCCGCAAGAGGTCTCAATTTCCTCCTTTTCCACAACCTTCTGGGATAGATTAAATCAGGTCCCAGAGATTTATCCACCTTTATATGCCAAGGCTTCCTGAACTTCCTCTTCTGTAATGTTAACTGTTTTAAAAACACTATTTCTCTGCATTCTAACTCCATTTTTTTCTCCAAATTCGAAACTGACAAAATATTCATTTAGTATCTCTCCCATCTCCTGGGCTTCAACACAGAACCTCCTTGATCTTAATGAGTGAGTAGGGCCTCTTAATGTATTTGTAGAATCTCTTGTATTATCCTTAAGCATTGGCAGATAATGTTTTTCATATCCCCTCTTTGCCTTTACACTGCCTATACTGAACAAGAGATTCAATTGAACCAGGTTGTCTATATCTAAAAAGGAAGAATCTTATTCTTGACTACAACCTGAATCTTTATTCATCCATTGTTCCTTAATCTTACCAGCCTTACCCTTCACTCTAACAGGAACAAAATGCCTCGTCACACTCTTGAATACCTCCCACTTGTAGACTGTTTGCAGGTGAAACAATGTCTGACTCTAATCAACTTTTGAAAGTTCTGTCTCACACCATTCAAATTCACCTTACTCCCATTAAAAACTAACTTTTTAATGGAAGGCTTAGTCTTTTCTATAACTATTTTGAAACTGCTTGAATTATGATTACTGGACCCAAAGTAGTTCCCCACTTTTACTTCAGTCACCTTCCCTGCCTTATTGATCAAAAGGTTTAGTTTTGCTCCTTCTTTAGTAGGAACATCCACATATTGATAAAGAAAATTTTCCTAACGTGACAAATTCTTCACCATCCAAACTTTTAACATTATGGTAGCCCCAGGCGATATTTGGAAAATTAAAACCCCCATTATTAAAACATTATCTTACATATACCAGAGATCTCCCTACATGTTTCTCAATTTTCCTCTTACTGCTGGGAGCTGAAAGTACAATCCCAAAAAGTGATCATTTGCTTCTTGTTTGTAATTTCTATCCATATATTTTCACTGGATGGTTTTTCAGAAAAATCTTCTAGTTACAGCAGTAATGTATTCCTTAATCAAAAAAGCCACCTCCCAACCCCACCTTCTTGACTCTTTCTACCCTTCCTATAATATCTAAAACCCAGAACACTGAGCTGCCAGTCTTGTCCATCTCAGCCAAGCTTCTGTAATAGCTATGTGCCAATCCCATGTTTTTAAACAGGAGTTCAGCCTTACCTGCAAGGCCCCTTGCATTGAAATAAAGTGTAATTTAGTTCTTCAGAGTTACTGCATACTCCAACTCTCATTTCTCCATCAATCCTTACACTGCTACTTACAATTCCTCTACTCCTCCTCTCTCAGTATAAAGTCTCCCCTAATAGAATGAGCAAATCTCCCTGCTAAGATATGGGTCCCACTCCTGCCATATTCACTTTTGCAAATTGATAACAGTTAAGATTTTTCTGCCATTCTTCACTGTTAACCCAGTAGTTTAACTAGGGATAATAAGCCCAACCCAAGCCTCATCACTGCTCAACTTCAGACTATTCACAGGACAAGTAAAAAGGTGCTGCCAGATTGACAATGAAGTCTGACTAGAAGCAGCACAGGAAACATGGAATGAGCCAGAGTCAGGGAATTGTTCTTCCTGTTCACTAGTGATTCAAATTCAAACTTTTCAAATTAGTTTGTAAAATCTCATTCAATAAGTCACTATGAAGGAGTGGGACAGAGCAGGCAGAAACCATCCACTCCCAATTATTGAGGGGAAAACAGACACACAGTTGACAGACTATGGAATGCAGTTCAGGATTGAAGCAGAGACCATAAAGGTTTAAGAATAGTTAGACAGGTTGAGAATAGAAAAGAGAAGGGGGCAATATGGAAACAGAATGGGTACCTACAATTTGTATAGTGCCTATATGCAGGGAAAACCAGTGTTGTAATTTCTATGTTTCCATGTAACATTAAAAATAAGGTTTGAATGAATATAGCTCCTTTCACGATAGGTAATTGCAGAACAAGTTCTGGACTAGCAACTGGAGGCCAAGGACAATGCTCTGGATAATACATTCAAATCCCACCATAGCAACTGATGGAATATTAAAACTGCAAACCAAATCTGCAGTAGTCTCAAGTGAAGGCCAATGGTTCATTAATGTTGTGACAGGAAAGAAGAATCTGATGTCCTTATTAGTCCAAACTCTATGTAACTCCAGACTAACAACAATATTGTTCCTAGTCAACTGGCCTCTGAAATGGTCTAGTAAATCACTCAAATTCAAGAGCAATTAAGGATGGGCCACAAATATTGGTCTTGGCAGCAGTGCCGCTCTCCCACCAAAGAATGGAAAACAACTTTACAATTAAATTTGTGTTTCTCTTGTGCAATTGGCTGTGTTTCCTACGTTGCAGCATAGGAGGATCCCACATCAATGTGATAATGACCCAGATAATTTTATAAATAAAATGACACTCAGAGGGATAAACATAGGCCTGGACAACAAGGAGAAACCCCCTGCTCATCTTCAAACTAGCATTATAGAATCTTTTACATTCACTTAAGAAGCCAGAGAGGGTATCTGTCTGAATTTTCAACCAAGGAAAAGCAGCATTACGAGCAGGGATTTTGGTTTGCATGCAGACATAGCGTACCTCTATCGTAGGATCGTATTCATCCACAAAGTGATTCTGGATGAGTTGAATTGTTAAAGCACTCTTCCCAACGCCACCAGCCCCAACCACCACCAGCTTATACTCCGTCATCTTCAGCTTCACCTCAACCAGTTGCCTGCAATGA